AATAAATATTTTTGTCAATGCTGTTAATTATATTTCTCTCGGATAGAAATGCTACCATTTTTTTATTTATGTCAAAAGGAATCATGAATTATTTCTCAGCTATCATCTTTTACTGCAAAAAAAATTGTTATACAAAATATAAATTAAATGAGTTTTTTTTAAATCGTACATACCGATATTTCAGATCTAATACTTTCGTAATGTTTGACATGTAATTAAGATTTATTTGCGTATGTATATATACACAGATTAAATTACTTCTTAATATTCTCACTCCTTAATAATGAATCCAAATATATTTTACATTAAAAATTCATTTACGCAAATTTATTTTAAAAGATAACATAAATAAAATTATATTGTACCTTCTTAAAAATATTTTTATAAAATGAAATATCTATCACGTTTCAAATATGATCTTAATAATTTCATTGAACCAATATCTACAAGTAATAATGAAGATTCTACAGGAACTCTTATGAATAGAGAAAAAAATATGAATAAAAGATTCAGTATTTTACGACATTGCTTCACGTGTTCAGATAAAAGAAAGATGGGTTTCAAACCGGTATTTACATAATAATCTACTGTGCAGTTTACGTAATGACTAAACTATCCTGAATTAGAATGTGATAATGAGAAAATGATTCGTGCAAACAATAGAATGTATTGAAGTAACATCAAATGTATATTTTCCTTTCACAATTAAAATTTAAGTAAGTATTATAATTAAAATATTTAATAATCAAAGCATAATAATCTAATATATCATTAATATTTTCTAAGTTACTTAAACATTTCATCGAAATAACATTTTTATCTTTTTGTTTTGTATGTTCGATGACTCTCAAAAATTTTGGATACATTGATGTGATTGTATCGCCGATCGCATAAGGATCTATTGATAGTACACTGACAATATTAATTGATGAAAGAGCCTATCACTCACGCGTTGGGCGATCAATATTCTCAAGGATAGAAAATTGTGTTTGTGTCACGCGGATATATAGTATATCTCACAGATAATACCAATTAAGTGTACACAAAGTCAGTGCATAACGGCGGCACAATATATAATAACATATTTCATAAAAGTTTATTCTGATACTTCGTCAAGACAAAACAAAAAATCAAGATTCAAATAACTCATCATGCGTTTTGACGCATGCGTTTACGAGTATCAGTCAGTCATGTTTTTTAACCGAATTATTCCGCTTCCCAAAGTTACGTAAGTTTATTACATTCACGCAATATCAATGATTATCGCGATGATCTCGTGAGCCGAAAGTAATGAAGTACAAAATGCAACGGATTGATTAAATCGTTGAAGTGCAGATTATCCGCGCCGATTTATTATCGCGATTGAACTGCAAGAGAAAATTCCTTTCTCGTTATAAATTTGATTTTAACAACGCCACACACACAATGTATCTATAAACTGAATTACTGCTGAATATCAAATTAGATTAATTGTAAAGTCGATAAATAGAGAAATCCAGGATTTACTCTTTAATTCATCGGATTCAATCGGATTGCAATAAACACAAGTGGTCTAAATGGTCGAGTAAAAATCATGTTAGAGTACGATTTAAAAAGAATCCTTACAAATTCCTACGAAAACAACTTTATGAAAACAGCGGTCAGAAGAAAAGTTATGTCCATTTTTACACTAAAAGAAAAGTTAAATTTAAAAGGTTCAGAAAAGTTCAAGATATAAGTTTAGATATAATTTAATGTTTGCCTCCAAAAAAATGACTATAAAAATTACAGTTAAATTATAGTAATTGTAATCATCATAACTATAATTTTTGCGTTGCCAACTATATATTTGTTGATAGAAATATATGTATAATAATAATTATTATTAATGTTATAAATAAGCAATAATAATCTTAATTATGATAACATATAATTACGGTCACAGATATCAAAAACTTTTCTCTCAATATACCAATGAAATTAATTAAAATCTCTGTTTAACTCACTTATCTTTTTCTGTTCTAAAAATTAGAAAAAGATAAAGCATAAATTAAAGTCAAAGTCAAACAGTGATGAAATCGAACCAAGAATAAACAACGACCTTATAAATGTAACTTACAATATATAATCTACGAGTTCAAAAACTTGGAAATTTTTTGTCCGATTGCTGTTTTGTAGAATGTAAAACTTTCGTTCTGAAGAAATGTGCAATAGTTTCTAATTCTGTATTACTAGACACGAACACGAAGAATTTCTAAAGTAGCATCGAAATTATATACGGAAGATATCCAGGTCAGCCACTGCAAATCGTGCCACCGGAATACCGATTCATTCCTGTGAGGCTTCTTAAGAATTAAGAACTATATTTTGTTTGCAGAGAAACACATAATGTACAATTTCAATAAAGGTAAATCTGTACTGCTTATCAAAACAGGTCACGTTGAAATACATGCGCTAATGTTCATGTATGCGTTTCCATATTAATAATTTCCCCGTTAAAAATAGACATATTTTTTTACGCTTAGACTACACGTGACCTGAATAGAGATCGTTCGATGAAAAAATGTTAACTGAGTGTCTATTAAATTCTCGCGTTCGGAATCAGGATGTGACAATTTGTACGTGATTATACATTTACTATGACGCGCAATTTTGTCTCACAATCGTGCTGATTTGAAAAAAAAACTGATTTTATCGCTGCAAAAGCGGAAGAGAACCGACGGAAGCGGGAACACGAGGGGAAAGATTTCACGCTACATCGCCATTATTAATAACCTCGTGTGCGGCCAACGATGAAACCACCATGCACTACTTTACGGATTGTTTCCGTCTAGGCGATCATCCACGTCCGTCTGGCTTGAATATGCGTTACGCGTCACATTTAATCTTGCAACTGCAATCAATTTCGTTAATGTTTGATGACGATATCAACAAATTCGCTTAGTCTTCGGGACAGATAAAATTTTCGCAAAACAGAGTGATAAGAGTATCACGAACATAAATCAGCAAGTAAACCATCTTCCAGAATTTATTAGAATTAATCAAAAAAGAAACAAACATTTTAAATGACGTTTATTATATGATAAATACACCTACTATTCCCTGATGTCTGCCACTATCTCGTATGACTTCATGTAAACGTAGCAAAGGTGATTCATAGTTATGCAAAATAGAAACTAATGTAAAAAGAATATTGAGCAAATATTAGCAGTATTTAATTAGTATTTATAAGTATTTATAAGATATTTCTTTTCTCAAACAGATATTATTTTATAAAAAAATATAAGAATTATGAGAAGTAAAACATCAATAAAAAATGACATCCTTTACTTTTCTGTTAAAATAAAATTAATTATTATCGATGAAGATTATTTATCTTTCTTTATTCCTTTTTTTTTGCAAAAAAAATCTAAACTAGTTAAAAAAATCTAGACACATATAATCTTTTATGTGCGTGTAGAAAGAACTAAAGTTATACATTATCTCAACAATTGATTACAGCCATTGTTTATGTTTAAAATGTCGAAATGATTATCACGTGACAGCTATAAGCATCAATAACAAACTTGTAAATCCTACACGAACAATGTAAATTCTAAACTTTTGCGTTTCTAAACGGTTAAATTGCAAAATCTCTCATAAACAAATTATAACATCGTGAAATGATGAATGTGCAAAATTTTGATTATACCGGTGTGCATTTGGAGTCACAAGATTGTATAAATATTTTTAAACTGATTTAGTGCCATATTGATTTATATACGTAAATCTTTCATTCATTGATAAAGACGTCGGCCGACACGAACGCCGTCGACCTCGTTCGACGTTGACCGTGAATTTGCAAAATCGATCAGTCTGCCGCAAATTGATAAGAAGCTTGCGAATAGATAACGACTGAAGGGGAACGTTATAATTCCTCTGATTGAATCAGTTAGAAAGTTAGTTTACTCAGAACCGATGACAAACGCGTTGATGAAAAGGGAATCTAATGATAAGTCTTTCAAACGTTACGATATACTTCCGCCCGATATCAGCGAGATCGTTCTATAATAATTAATCCGGTCAAACAAATCGCAAATTCATCAATTTCCACAAAGTGTAGCATTTAAATTCTACACGAAAACGAATGGGAAGTTTAACATTGATTTACAACGTTATTCATAGATATTGGATAAAAAATATTTCAATATTTTCGTACATTGAAAAAAAAGTTTTGTTGCATAAATTGAAATTCTGGTTGAAAATAAACAAATCAAAATTTTTTGGTAAAATCTATTATAATTTTTGTTAAGATAACAAAAATTCTAATTAATATATGATCATTCATTTTCAATCAGAAATTTTTCTCAGTATACAATAAATTTTTCAAATATATTAATTACTACAAAAAATAGAAATTCTCGAATCTTGAAATTTTTTATCTTGTTGACAATTAATTTAAAAAATTTGACATATAACATTGAAAAAAATATCTGTTTAAATAATTCTAGTAAATATTTACTAAATGTATGAATATACATTTATTTAATACAACCATCATTAATTTAACTATCATTTTTTTATTGAGTAAATATTTATTTACTGGAAGTAAATGTTTAGTTAGTACTGCGTAATACTTTTCCAATGAATAAATGAAATATTAGCAGTTGTCTTTAGCAGCTGTATTACATTTGTCGACAAATTATTCTAGTCTATTGATTGGCTATAAGAGATGCGAGAACTTATCTATTCAATTAATTGACACGGTTGAAAAATTTGTGACAAATGAAATATTAGCCTAAAGGCACAATATGGCCAACGTATGCCAACATTAGCAAATATCATACATAATATATGACGTACATAATCAGCCATATTTAATGTAGTCAATATTACATAGCGAATGTGTGCAGTGTTGGCCTATATCGTCTGGAGACACCTTTACAGTGCGTCGACAAAGAACACACGATAAATTCCAAGTTCCTGACACCCACAGGTGGGTGATTACTCGTAACAAGCACCAACGATACAAACATTCTCACCTAACGAATTTCGTGACAAAACGACCGCGGTTCCTCCTCGTCACTTTCCTGCTCACCGAGATCACTTCCAGCCGGCCGTCGACGATTTTCCCACCGCGCGATCGGGAGAGGAAATTATCACTATACACGATTCAAGAGTGTCGGTGTGAAGAATGATGTGGGTGTCCACGTATATGTAGGTGTGGACGTGTATACCGTGCGCGCGTATCGTCTGCTCTCTACGTCGTACTTCTCCACCACGTCTCACTCGCGAGTGTGCCGTTGCGTAAAAGCGAGAAGAGGAGATCGGAAAGCAGGTTTCGACAAACGACTGAATTCGTGCTGCGCCGACACACCGCGACACACGTCAAGCATCTCGACCACCTTTGATCTTTGGTCGTGGATCCGCGCGTGGACCCTGGGATTTCGAACCGATAACGCCACGCGATGATCGGAGGTGGAAGTGACGTGCGCACGAGGCGCCGGGACAGCTGTTCGCGAACCCGGGACCCGGGATGAGTCGGAGAAACGGGGGAAACTCAGCGAATGAATCCGACACGCGTTCTGCTTTCCCAAGTCCACGCGAGCTCTCGGATGAACTCTCGAAAGACTGTTGAGACTCGAAGCGATCTCGGACGAATACTTGCTTGAATCATATCGCAATTGAGTCCTTTGTCGGCGAATTTTCAAGAGTTAATTCTAAAGGAAACTTGTGACCTTCATCAAGGTGATCCTTGACCAGATTAAATAATTTCTAATATATTACAAAACTGAATTAAACTCAAAGCTCGGTTCTCGCAAAGCAATAAAATATAGTTAAGGGTCAAACAATGAACATAAAAGAGAGATGTTTCAAAAATCTATTTTAAAAATAAATAAAGTGTAAATATCAAACCAACATCTTCCTTTGATGTTCATTTTGATTTTTAACTATGTTTTATTGTTATTACAAAATTGCTAATTAAATACTTCGTTAAAATGCATTTTATGCCCCGAAGAAAATTGTTAATCTTTGTTCTAAAATTAATCATTTACGCTCGAAGATTTGCGAGGAAAGAATACAAAATTTTTTGATAAAAATAATAATACGTGAGATTATCGCTTTTAATATCGCGATTAGCAATTCTACGTTTCATATAATGAAACTTTGCATTTCCGTCATATTATTATTGAACACGTGGCATTTATTAATCGGGTCAAGTGAGGAACTGGTAATCGAAAGACAAGACAGTCAAATAATCGATGTGCCAATTCACATGCAATATCACAGCCAACCAGGTCGGCGCCTGAATGTCCTCACAATCAGAGCGCGTACTCTGGACTCTGGCTTCCACGTCCCAAATGATCTAGAGAATCTAGAGTCAAGTCCGACTGCGAACACCAATAATACTGCGCCACGTTAAAGCCAGAGAAACGCATAATCCGAGATCCGCTTGCTCACGCTGTAACGTCATCAGCCTCTCAGGTATATAGAACGAAGAAGAAACGCAGTTTCTTTTGTCAATGGATTCTAGAAAGCACATTCTAAAGAAAACGTGACCCACATCTAAAACTTGTCTTTTTAACTAAACTTCTGGCACAGTTTGTCTCTTCTCTTTTTCTTCTCACATTGGAAAAAAAAGAGAAGAGGTAAACAAGAAGCTCAGCTGGAAAAAAGAAATAAACCTCTAGAATATTTTAGAATCTCTAGATGGTCCCTGACCAGCGGCTAAGTAAATTCTAATATATAACAAAATTGCTAATTAGATGCTAAGATCGTTTTAAAAAAAAATTTACATTCTGAAGAAAATTTGCTTTTGTTAAATTTTACTTAATTTAAGGCATTTAAATAACATTTAATTCTGGAGAGTTTATTTTTCCTATTTATATATTGGATATTTATTGTTTATATGAAGGCATTAATCTTCTTATTATCTCTAATTATCTGCCAAACGTTTGAAGCACAGTTCAAATTATAACGACTAATTAGTATTTAATTTTCATCGCGTTAGTATTTACCGCTAATTTGATGGAAATCGTAATATAAATGATTAGTGAAACAAATCGCATTATCAGCACTCACAAGTTTCCATAACACATTATTTGTATTATTCAGCTGTATTGAGAAGGTCAATACTAATAAATATTCGATCAGCTGTAATTTCTCAATCAATTTTTCAATATAACTTTTAATATTTATCAACAGAGTGTTCAAATTTCAATCATAATTCCATAACAAAATGAAATATCAGAGAATATTTTCAGCGAATAATAAACAATGTAAAATCGATATAAATAAAATAAATTATACAAAATCCGTTGTGCGTTATTCGTCAAATTACATGTAAAAAAAAACCCTTGTATTTAAAAAATCAAACACCATTAATTAACTGTCAATAATCTAACCACGTCTGCTTATTAAAATTAATATGAAAATAAACCAATCAAGTATTTCTTCCCGTATCACCCAGTATACTGATAGCATCTCGGAAGCGTCGCTTACATTCTTAGGTCGTGGTTGAGGGGATCTCGCGCGGCGAAAAGCTCCGCTCTCACGGAATTTCCACGTCACGTGCCGGAAGAGTACACCCGCAACCTCCGGGTTTCCGCAGACGCGATCTATCCTCAATGACGCTCGATCCACGACGCCATCGCATCGCCGATTCACCGGATCTCCTACCCGACGACCGACGACCGACGACCGAAGATGTTCGTTCCCGCGCGCGAGTACTCCGTTGAATCACACGCGTGCCGCGCAACCGGCTTCAGGTACGCACTGACGGCGTTGCCGGACACGAACCGACCTAGTGATCAACGCCGCGGCCATCTTGCAGCCTGAAACTAGCGGAATCGATGGGACGCTGCGAGCGTCTCCTGTCGGCGTGGCGTAGCGTGGCGTGGCGTGACTTGGCTTGGCTTTTCTCGGTCAGGTGTTTTTACTTTTAGACGGTTCTTTAATAGTTCAAAAATAAAAGACCCTGGAGACTCTCAATCGTGTAACTTTTTTTTTCTAGAGCGGAAACATAAAGTGAAATAATTTTTTTTATATATATGTATATAAAAATTTGTACTTTTTACATTTCCATTGAAAACGAATCCAATTAGATTTCGTCTTTTATTTTAATATAGGATATCAATCATGTAACTTTTTCTCTACGTGAAAAGTGCAAATTTGTGTGTGTGTGTGTGTGTGTGTGCGCGCGCACATACACATACATAAAAATTTTCATCTTTCACGTTTCCACTTTAAAAAGAAAAGTTGCATGATTAATATTCTAGAGGCAGATCTTATTTCAACCATCTTAAATAATATCTTAAGGTGCTAAGGCGACTTTGTAATTAGCTTATAAAACTGCACTTAAGACAGTCTTAAATATAAGAACTGATTATAAATACCAGCTTAAAAGATTAAAATAAAAAATCTTAGACTAAAAGACGAAGCCTAATTAGATTTGTTTTACAATCTCGAGTTTCCAAACAACGTTCTCCCTTATAATACGAACAATTTGCCTCACTTTAAATTCTTCCCTATAAAACAGTTAGTTCAAACATTCGGTTAATTCTTGATGTTTGCTACCCTTGATTTCACTTTATAACTCGACGCGTTTGGTTTTCGCTAAACAATATATAAATATGATACATTGTTAAATCACTGTGAAATATTTCCTAAACGATAACATATATCCGACACTTGCCAAACATTGAGCCGAAATTGAAAAACATTGTCAAAGTACATGCTAATAGATAAACAAACGTTCTTTTCGTTACGTACCGGAGTTTCGCGGATCTCTTTGGAGGATTTAAATCTTCGATAATCAAAGTTACATTGAAAAATTGTATATCGTTGAAATAAGAGAGTAAAACAAGTCTATTTTTCCGCGTACATTTTATACTTAAAATTCTCCTTCGTCTTACTGTCCATTTCTACCAATATCGATTAAATTGCGAATGATGCCATTTTTGCTCTGCTGTCTTTCCAACTTTTTTTTCTTTTTTCATATTAGATATACAATAAAAAAATTTTTAAATGTAAATATATATATATAATACAAATTCTAATGTGACATAAATAATACCATAACTTTTTACTAACCAAAAACAAGGACAGAAAATTATCAATTTAGCATCTTCGATGATTCTAGTAGAAACTTTAATCTCTAACTTAATTTTTATTTTTTTTTTAGTTATAATAATTAGAAAAAATAAAGAATACAATAAAAAATTTGGTGTTAATCTACATTGATAAGAATGAACAGTAAAGAATTTGAAGATAAATAATCGGGAACGAAAAATTGAACCAAGATTAAACTATATTAACAGAGGCACACGATGCATTTTCCTTGCTGAATTGTTTGCGTTTTAGTAAATAGAATTGCACCATACAGATAATTATTAGTAATTACTAAAACGCAAGCAATCAAGCAAGAAAACGTATACTGTAAAAAATATATCACGAGTTTCAGACTAATATTTTATTTATCGTATGACACATTTTTCAATCATGTTAATTGACTGTTGAATAGAGTTCTCGAGTTTCTAAAAATCCTCTATCTAGTAGTTGATCTATTATTGATCAATACGCTCGAAAAATTCGTCGTAGGATAAATAAAATATTAGCCAAGTCAAAGGAAACGGCAGATGATTTTCGAACGGATGCTTTTCTATTCTTTCTCTCTCCATTATCGTAATGTATCGGTCGTGACCCCTTTGCGGGCTGCAATATGGTCGCGCCGGTCACTTACGAAGTCGCACGTGTCGATCAAACGTTGCGCTCAAGCGTGTTCCAAAAATACCGCATTATGAGTGAATTTTAAATCACCTGCAAAAAAACGATACCCAAGCAAGCGATTATACGCGTCATTTGTTTTTCATTTGGAAAATTAGCATAATTATATGGTCTCTTTTTTTTATTTCTGCACTGGACTGTATTATAGAATTTTTTTTAATTTTAACCAAATAATATCAAATGAAATATATACTTACATATTTCATTTGAAGTTTCAAAAGTACTAGTTTAGCTATAAAACTAGACCTACAATGTCTATTTCTATCAATGTAGATTAATCTTAAATTGCTATCTAAAAATCTTTAATCTTAAATTGCTTTAATTTTAAAATTTAGAAAAAGATAAAGAGTGATTAATTCAAAATTAAAGTTGATCTAATTGGTACAAATGGGACATACGCCTAATGAAAATAAAGTGCGCATTTTTTTTAGTTGTCATTATCAGTTTAGAAAAAACGAATCATATCGCTTTCGCTCTTTCCTTCTCTAAAATATCGAGTTGAAGAAAGATGCTGATAGATTCAATTCTTTCTAACGGAGCACAGCTGTCAAGATCAGGAAATGCGCATTTTATATCTACTACGTCTCTGAACAATTTACATGAATAACGCGCGAATTTCGAGCGATTATTGTTACAGAATTAATTTACAGTAATCTACTTTTCCATATACACGTCGTGTACAAAGATAAATGTCTGTTTCATACATTCCATACGGTAATGCTTGCACGTTGAAAGAGTAAACAATCTACGTTCTTCTTACCTCGAGAGTGCGTGAGTGTTTCATGGTTTTTGTTTAGCAAACATCGTTAGTACACAAACGAGAGGTATCAGAATCAGAGACGAAACATCGATACGTTCGCTTAATTTACGCAAAATGATATCGACAAACTGCAGATTGTAGGCGCGTAACGGATTACGTTCAACTTTTGCAAAGCAGGAATCCGTCCACCGAATTACGCGCTCTCGCTGCTGAAATGTTCGGCCGAATGATCTGCGATTCAACTCGTTTCGAGACGTGTAATGTGCATTGGCTGTCAGACAGGACTCATCGCACTACGTTTCAACGCACGCCGTAGATGTACTCAAACTCACGAGCCGTTAGAAGCCCGACTCGGAACAGCCGGTACGCGGTCGCGAGATCTCAATATAGACGGCCGGCCTGCGCGCGAACCAATCGGACGACGAGTTGTAGTGGGCGGGGATGTGGCGTGATCCTCGGTGACGTCACGCGCGCCGGTCCACGATCGATAACTTGAAACTCGCGCGCGCTACGTTCGCACGAATTTCACGCTGACGCGATGCACCGGCGATCGATGGTATATGTATGTGTGCGCTCGCCACACACGAATTAAGATTCGCGATTTTTTTCCTCCTCATCAACCGAATCGCGAAATCCGCTGAATAGATTGCGTCCGTGACCGTAAAATTGATGAAAAGCGCACTTTCAATAGAATTCAAAAACGTCGTTCTCATGTTCTGTTATTTAAACGGCGAGTTTTACCAGGAGAGCAGAGATATATTTGCTGCAGGTATATTTATCGACGGCGCACACGACTTATCGTATGTCAAAAAAAATCGTACGATCGGTTTTTTCGGAACGTTGTATTTGAGGATTACGGAAAGGTAAATATTAATTGAAAAAAATATTGACACGCATGCATATGATATAGATTAAAGATATTCGCGTTACGTGGTCGGCATGAACTATTTGGAGGATGACAAAAAATAAGATGTATTTCAACTCTATAATAATACAGCGGTTATGATTTCAGAAAAACGACAGAATAACAAAATTTGATTGAATAATTATTTACAATATATATATATATATATAAAATCAAATGTCTACAATATTTTTCATTCGAAAAATAACTCGAGTCCCAACACTAAACAAAATTGTTCATTCAACTGAATTAATTTAATTTGTTTTTATTTCTTCCGATGAAAAATGTATGTACTTAAAAGTCAAACTGAACTATTATAACTGAAATATACATATACATTCTCTAATAAGAGAAATAAAAACAGTTAATTTAACCAAATGAACAATTTTTTTCTTCGATGTATAATTAAACTTTTCTTTTAATTTTTGTATAAATATGATAACGAAATTGACATAGTAAATATTATATAATTTCTTTATCTAATCAATATTTTAACAAAATTAATATAAAGCTATATACATAAAATATAAAAAATAAAATCAAGAACTTCTCTAATAATGAAAAACGCGAGTTTTTATGATTCGATATTTTGTTTAATTTCTATATCTGATAAATTGTATCGAAATTGAAATAACGTAATATAAATAATACATAAAGATAGAATCAAGAAACATCTATACAATATTGTCTATCGAAAGATAATCTTTTACGATTCAATATTTCTTTTAATTTTTATAACTGATAAATACTGTAACGAAATTGCAATAACGTATCAAATAATATAGGTACATACAAGAAAATTCGGCAAAAGATAGGAGAAAATTTAAGAAGTGATTCTAGTTGAAATAGAACAAAAATTATGAATATCAAAATTGCAAATTCGACTTTATCTTTTAAACATAAATTTAAATATTCAAGCAAAAAGTATAAAATTTAAATATTCATATTTAAAGCATATGAATATTTAGACATTTATTATTTAAAAATAAAGCTTCCGCCGAAATTGTTTTAGTCTTCATTTTATAATTCTGAAAGTTTAAATATTCATATAAATATACACATGATGTTTAAATATTTATAATTAAAAAACAAAGTCAAATTTAAAAATTTGTTATTCTAAATTTTCATCTTATTTTATCATCTAGAGTCTAGAATTACTTTTTACATTTTCTCCCACTAATTGTTATCAAATATTTATCTGTATATAAAAAAAATATAAAATCGAGAAACGTCTCCAATATTCATCGAAAAGAAGCGCGAGTTCCTACGATCCAACATTTCTTTTAATTTCTGTATCTGATAAATATTATATTAAAATAACGCAAACAAATATTAATAACATCGGAAGGAATCGAAATATCTGCTGGAATGGATTGCATCACAGATTGCGAGGATATATTTGCGCGCAGTAAAATTACAGTAACATTATGGGCAGGATTAACATTTAAACTTTATTAAAACCAACAACATAACAAGTGCAACAACAACAAGTCGATGTGCCTCAAACAGCCCGCGGCAACTGCATTCCTCGCTCTTTTTCTCGCTCTCTCTTTCTCTCTCTCTCTCTCTCTCTCTCTAAGTATTCTTTCAGTTCTTACAAAAAATCAACCTGTCTCGTGTCACCCTATCACCGCCGACCACGTCGAGCTCGAGCGATCGTCACTGCGAACGAGCGAACGCCTGGAGACCTGCGACATTAGTAACATTTGCAAATGAACACACAGGATTAGAGGCATTACCGTCGGTGACGAGGACAATGGCGATGAAACGGTACGCGATCCTCGCACAGTCGCAACACAGAGAACACAGAAAATCCCATTCGCGCTAATGATCGATCGGACGGCCCCTCATGGCCGCCACTACGATCGCTACAAGCAATGCAAGGAGACAAGCGAGCAAGAGCGTGGTGTACGTCGTTACCGGGACGGTTAGGAGGTTAGTGACACGGGGAACGTGCACGTCGTCCCCGGCGCGGCACGATCTCGTGCGATCAACAAGCTCGCACATTGTGCGCTCACCTTCGCGGCTACCCCCGCTTTGCGCGTCTCTGCCACGCGCCTCGATTCCGCTAGGCAATACCACGGTCTCCTCCTGATCGCGTTCCCGCTCCTGCCTCAGGGTGTCGGCGATCAAGCTAATCCTGCGGATCGCATTATCCTCGCTCTCGTCCGCGTTGGTTACGGCGGCGGTAAACGGCAGCGTTGCGTCGCGAATTCTCCCGTATCTGATACTCAGGTCCTCGATCTCCTTCTCGTGCTCGTAGAGACTGGCCGCGGCAAGTTGCAAGTCGCGAACGGCCCTGGACAAGTCCAGCTCCACGTCGTCGGTAGAAGCGTCCTCGAGATGGCTGACGTTACCTTGGTCCCCTTCACTGCTCATCAAGGAATTACGCTTTGAAACTACAATCTTCTCGAGTCTGGGACTGACGATGGGCCGATCATCGCTAGTTGCTTCATCCTGGCTGTACGGCGTGGAGCTGCTCCGCATGCTACTACTTTGGTCCTCGATCTCGGAGCCATGAGACACCGAAGAATTTTTTAGGGTAGACAGGCGACTGTCGCGTAAGTGGTCGGCCACGTTGCTGAAAGCCTCGGCAATCAGCTTGACGTTTTCATCCGCCACGCGAAGATAGAAATCAAGGTTGTTAGCTGCCGGCGTCGGAGAATCTGACGAAGACCTCGTGGAATTTGAATTGGTCGGGCTCGTCGTTTTCTCGCTCTCGACATTCCGCTCGTCATTGGCAAGCTGCGATCCTGAGTAATGACTACCTAGAGAGCGTACACGTACGCTCGCCGGAGGTTCGTTGATCTCGAGTTTGGCGTCGAAGTCGTTGGATTTATCAGCAACGACTTCGATAGAATCGTTCGCCTTCGGCGATTCGATTACATTCGGTGATGCCATGTCATCGTCGCTTTTTATTAAATTTACTAAATCTTGGCAGAGACGACTGTACGCGGTAAAGTCCGTCTCCGTGCTGCGACCGCTATTGGCTGCCGAAACGTTGGAATCCGAATGTAGGTATTCGTGCCAAAATCCGTCATTCAGAATGGCCTTTGAAGACAGCATGACGTCGGACAGCTCTGTGACACCCGACTCCTTCTCCTTCTTGGGACTTTCTCGCGTGGTCGTCGCCGCTGTCGTTTCCGGTGATCCGTAGGCACATAGCTTCTTCCAATACGCGCCCACCGCCGGATGGTTGCCATTGATATCAATATCACTTTTAACTGCTAGTTCTTTCCATCTATGCGTATCGTTATCAGACAGCTCGCCGTCGCTCACTACGCGTCTGAAATATTCCGGTCGCTCGGATGTCGCAGCAAAGTTCCTCGTAACGTCTTGAATCTTATCTTTGACAGCGAGACTGTGCTCGCGTTGCAGGTGAATCCGATCATGACTGATCAGTCCATAAAGATTAGCCGATAGCGATCTAACGGCGCGTTTCTTGTTGCGAGTAGCAGTCTCCAGCTGTTCCCTCGAGACGTCGATCTTACTCTCCGCGATGTTCCGCGTCGCAATATCCTTTCTAAGGGCCCTGTAAGCCAAATCGTCCGTGACCACGTCAGGCTCACATTGCGGTATGTATGACGAGCGTGGCTGTTCCGATTTCGTCGGCATCGTGTGCAAGTAATCGCTCTCGGTCGCCGCGGTAACCGGCCCGAGCGGTATACCGAACGGTGGCTGTGGATCGATTATTCGGAGAGTATTGTTGGCGTGATTTATACTACGGAAGAGCACGTCGTCGCGAGTCACGTCCGGCTCGTCCCGACGAGACGAATAAGTCGCTGGCAAGCGCGTAAGATCGTCCGCCGAATCCCTTCGCGAGAGGACAGGTGAAGCGACGAGATAACTGATGCTGGACAGAGTCGATTGTCCCGCGATGTCCGAGAGCGATGTGGGTCTTTCCTTGGGATGCATCCTCCGATAAGCCATGTCGTCCTTCGTCCTATCCGGTGAATCTGCAGTGATCGCAATCACATCAAGCTCGTTTTTACTTTGTTTCTGATTAAACTCCTCCATACTTCGACGTTCCGCGCGATCCAACAGATCCTCGTCGCCGAGGCGAAGGCTGTTGTATATCGCTTCCAACTCGGATAGAGCTTCTTCGAGGTTTTTCGAACTTCTCCGTCTTTCCAAAGTTTCGTCAGTCGGTGTTATTCTTCTACTGTCTTCTTTTTTACTCCTCTCAGCGCAATTATCCATGTCATAGGTCGAGGGGGTAATGATATGCAAATTACGTTGGTCGCAGGGAGATCTTCCAGATGACCAATCGGACATAGATAGATGCGATGAAATCGCCTCGTGATGTTTATTCGTTTCGCAGATGTTCACTGGTTTATTCCTGGCCTTGTATACATGGTAATTCGCGTCACTGCGATTAAGCTGATCGTTGCGAATGTTTCTACGTCTCGTCGTTTCGATTTCCTTGTAAGCCGACTCGTTCGCGTAGTGATAGCTCGAGTTATATTTATTATTTATGCGTTCCAACGAATTACGGAACTCTGTTTTAGGACTCGACATCGAATTTCCTGATTTAAATTCCATTGTATCGCGCCAGGCGATCTTATTGTTTGATCCGTACGATCGAAAATTCCTCCAGTCGGGTCTTGATATTCCACTTGTAACGTTAGTCTTATTGTCTTCTTGTTTAAAGTAATTTGGTACATTTTGGTGTCTATTCATCGGATAGGAACTGTAGCCGAATGAGCGATAACGAGGATCCCTCGGGGGTGGCTCGGGTGGCTGATTGTCCGGATTGATTAATCGGCGATCGACGGTGCAATCGAATGATTCCGAGTAATGACACGCGTTTTTTGCGGGGTATGTAAAGAAGTTTCCGGTTCGATGACTGTCCGTATACACGTCACCGCTGTGATGTCGCGTGATCTTCCCGTAAGTGTTGTTCTGATTCAAATCCATGATGTATTGCCCTGTAGAATATCTCCTGACATCACCGAAAATTTCGGGATGCTGTAAGCTCACGCGTTCCGCATCTCGCAAATTTTCCATGGAAGATTTTTGAACTGGAAACACACGACAGTTTGAATACGCGACCGATCGACGTGGATGTATGGGCGGGCGACACAGTCCGTTCGTATCAGTGTAAATAGCGCGTTCCTTATCTTCGATATAGTCTGAGGAACACCTTTTATTATACAGCTCATTCAAAGTATCACCGCTGCCATTGCCTTCGTCTCGAGATAAGCGCTTGATGTACCGTTCCGTTCGAGCAGCGCGAGTTCTTCTATTGCACATATTATTTCTCTGGCCATTCTGCGTGCTATCCGCGTGAAATCTGTTTAACGAACTATTAGATCTGTGACAATCCTCATCGGAACTACTGCCCGCGCACAGATGATCTCTTTTCGCTTCGGCCCGAGCTTTCAATTTGTTCTTTCGAAACTTCTTCCCTAAACCATCTAACGAACCGTCGCTACTACGTGAATGCAACGAATCTCGATAAGAATCTTTCACATGGTAAATGTTATTTTCGACTCTTATCCGTTGATCGTGCTCCAAATTATTTTCTATCGAGTGAAGGACAACACCATCGATTTTCTTATTAAATTTTGCAGGCTTTCTCGGTGTTTTTTTGCAATAGACGATCTCTTCATCATTAGAGGAACTGTCATAATCCTTTATCGAAGATATTCGTCGTAGAATTCCACCTATAGACCATTTCTTGTCCTTTTTCTTATCCGAGGCACTAGATACTGCATGACAAACTGGTAAACGCCGAGTTGGAGGCAGGAGACCGTCCATCCTCAACACATCTTTCTTGCGCAGCCCCTTTTTCTCCATAGTAAATATCACCAAATTTCCTTGGTGTTAAGATATCTGAAAGAAAAATATTTTGTTAATCTTACAATTTTCAAATTCCATAATGATATATTATAATACGTTCCATTAGATGTCAAAAGCATGAATTTAATCATTTTATTTCAGAAACATAAAAATTACTACATCGAATTACATTCACAAATAGCAATTTGTAATTGAGAAAATCATAAATAAATGTATTGAACACTTAACAAAAAAATACAGATAATGTATGACGTTATTAAAGTTTTATATGTTCTCACATATTGTATTCTACAAATATATTCACCGGGTACAAAAACATTTTGTTCATCTCATAATTTAATTTTTACACAATAATGTATCATAATATGTTTGTATTTTTACACAATAATGTTCCAATGAGTATCAAGCATGTATTTAATATCATTTCAGAAACAAATTTCATTTCAGAAACAAAAATTACTACATTAACATTTGACAATTAATTAACACTAGAACCAATTTTTTTCTTTTTTATATTGTTAAATATATATAGCACAGAATATTAAAAATATATGAATATTATTAGAATATAAATAATTCTAATGATACAAATAACCCTCAACACACAATGAGTCGTTTGGTTAATTTCATCACAAGTATATAAAAATTATTGAGTGATTCTTGCATCTTATTGCTTTTACATCTTTAGAAAGTATTTGTAGAGTTGTGTATTTAAAAAATGGAATGCATACGGACTATTATTTAGAGCCAGGTGCTCCTAATATTTCAAAGAAAAGAAATACGCAGACCTAACGTGAACTAGGAAACAATATCAAAATAAATCTTCATTAACTGAAAATAAAGACAAAAAATTATATTAAAAATTGGCACCTTCGACAGTTCTAGCGGAATACCGTCGAGAATATCGTCCTAGTAACAGTGTAATTTGTAATGTTAATTGCGGAAGTCATAAACGCATTGAATATTTAACGAAAGGAATATATAGAAAGTGCAAGACGTTATTAAAGTTTCATAAGTTCCCATATATTGTATTCAACGAACGCATTCACCGAGTACAATACAAACTTAACGGCCACGTGTTCAATACTATCATTCTTCGTATCTCATTATGTCAAACGTTCTTTTCAACGGAAAATCCGCTTCGCGAGTAAGTACTTAAAACGTGTCTTTCACGACACGCACGCATACAAACACTTAAGATTACTCGCTCGACGTTCTTAGAAAACGTCGGAGAGTCCCGACGCGATAAAACTCGTCCGCGCTCACTCGCTCCGATTATAAATACACCCTGCGTCGCCTGCTGTGCTGTGCACTAACCTCCGATGTCGAAATCGGCGTGACTGCTTCCTCAGCCCGGACCCGCCAAGGGCGCCGAGTCGCGAATAATGAGTCACGAGTGCCAGATACTCGATCATTGAAGCCACGGCGACGCTGCACTGCTGCAGCTGCACGCAACGAGGCGAGGTCAGTGCTCGTCCGAACGGTTCACAATCACGATAACGATGTCGTATCAATCGCTTCTCTCTCCTTGGGAACGATCTTTGATCTTTGACAGCGCCGCCGTCGCGTAAACGTCTCGGTCCGTGATACGCGACGTCCCCCCCCCCACTCTCTTCTCTCTCTCTCTCTCTCTCACGACTCTTACTGCTCCAATTTCACTGATTCGACAACTCTCTCATAAGCAGCAAAGAGGCCCGAATGACCTCGAAACGTCCATCTTACGCAAGAGGAAGTATTCGACTCTCGAGGCAACACGCACTGAAATGAACGCAGAACGCAGAACGGCCATTACTTGGCGAGCGTCACGCCAGCGCTCGTAAAAGGCACGACGGACACGACGGTACCAGACCGGTTGCTCGCACCGAACTTACGAGTTACGAGGAGAGGAGCGAAGTCAGCGAAGCAGCGATTCGTCCTCGGGACCCCACCCATTACTCGCTCGCTCGTTCGTTCGTTCGTTCATTTTCCACGCGTGATCTTTAAAAATCCTCAGCCGAGCACCCACACATTGCACGACTGATCCCCGTTTCTACTAATACGGTTTAACTTTAATTTCGGTTCAACTAATTCGTCTTTTTCTAGTTTTAAGAATAAGAAAAAGATGAAGAGTAAGTTTGAAGCGAGATTAAAGTTAGTCCACATTGGTAGAAACAGGTATAAGGCTCATTTTCACAACTCACGGTTATCTCTTAATCAAAGTTCAATTTGTTTCTCATTTCTTTCCAATTTTAGAATTGGAAAGAGATAATGAATAAGTTGAACCTCGGTTAACCGTGAGTTGTGAAACTGGGCCTAAGTATACAATACTGTACATAAAGGCGTTTCTTAGCGCATTCCTTCCACATTTCAAGTCGGCTGGGTGGAATCTTATACTCGAGCGATAGTAACAATAAGTCTGTTCTTTTCAAGCATGACTTTACTAACGTAATATCATCAACTTTAATCTCGATTTAATTTACTTTTTATTATTTTATAATTCTTTGAATCAGGAAAGAATAGTGAGTTAAACCAAGATTGAAGTTTATCTTGTACTTGTGGAATTGAGTCTTATGTCCATTTCTATTAATGTAGATTAACTTTAATCTCTATTTAACTTACTTCCTATCTTCTTCTAGTTCTAAGAATTAGAAAACAATAAACAGTAAATTAAATTGAGATTAAAGTTAATCTTACATTGGTGGAATCGAGCCTATGTTCATTTCCATCAGTTTCTACCTCGGTTTAAGTTACTATAATTTATCCTTTTCTAATCATAAGAATTAGAATTAACTACTTATCTTTTTCTAATTCTCTCTCTAGTTCTAAGAATTAGAAAAAAAATAATGAATCATCTATCTTTGATAGAAATGGTTAAGTGAGCTTCTTGCATTCATCTTTCTTTTTTTCTTCAATAAGAAATTACTTTGTATAATTTATCAATTAATTTGTTTTTTAAAATATATGGCCTTTACTTGCGGCTGCGTTTTTTAATTAAACATTCTTCTAAACAGCTGAAATAATGAAAAATATTACTGCAAGTATTTTTTCCGAAAGTTCTAATGTCTTAATTTGCCTAAAACTGATAAGAGCTTTTTTAAAATAACTCTAAAAGTCAAATATCTAATCTTTAAGAGATAATACAAGTGCATCTACTCGACAAAGTATCGTCACCCATCGTTACTCCATCCTCATTGATATCAAGTGATTAGAATCTCTTAGGGACAATAGAGTAAACAAATACAACAGTGTGAGTGTTAAGCTTTTTCGTTTATTGAAAATATCTCTGTAAAACGTGTGTATATTGTGGCCAGGCGAGGTAAGCCGACAATACCGAATCTTCGACAACGAAATGAAATCGGGTAGCAAATGAAGAGATACGGTGAAGACATTGAAAACAATATAGTCGATCGTATTTTTTTTTTTTTTTTAGTATCTACATAAGTAAAGGACGAATCAACGATGCATTCGCTTACTTTTTAATCTTATTATTAATTATATTATGTATAACAAAGCGGTAACAACTTGTTAATTGTAACTATTATGATAATAATCGTTTACTTTATATAATTACAATAATATAATGTGTAAGGATCGTTAACTAATCGATAACAAACGAATCGTATCCTCCTCCTTTTTCTTCTCTTATTCTTATTTTCCCTTCCTCATCGTATCTTCGTTTCATCGCGTCCTCCTTTCGCATTTCCATTTTGACCCAATGTCGATCGTTAGCGTAAATTTTATTATTATTTCTTTTTTTCGCGCTCATCCCCCTCTCTTCTTTTTTTTTTGGTATTAATTATTTAACAACAGTTTTTTATCCTCTTATTATATTTGCTCTTTAATTTAATAATCGTAGTAAACATAGTAATTATTTATAATATTGTGCAAATAACCCATATATTTATTATTTATATATATATATGTATATATATATATTTTCCTTTTTTGTTATTTATTCTGTTAATAAAAGTGTAAGTAATGAATGTCGTATTCTCAACGGAGGAGCTTCTCTGTTTTCTCGTTTTTTGCGCGCGCGCGTCACAAACACCCGCGAATCCACGTGTCCGCACGACACGCGCGAGCGTGTACACACACACACACACACGTACCGCAGATTTGTTTGTCTGTAATGGACGATCCTTCGCGCGTATTTTTTTCTGTTTTTTTTTTATTCTTTAAATACTTCGACAGCTAGCTTCTTCGTTAAAATTGGATTCTTAACACGTTTCTACCTAGCTTGACCCATGGCAGTTGCTTGTTCATTTATACTGGCCGACAGGCTCCGTAGCTTGACACTTTACAATGCTTTAGCCCAGCGCTCTAGGATTTTTGTTTCATATTTATTTATTTATTTATTTATTTTTTTTTATTTCATTAATATCATTATTTATTATCTCATGACGTAGGATTAATGATTCGAGAGTATCGAGACACTACAAAGCACTTTTTTTTCTTGCTATCCGTTTAAGAAAATTTTCGTGCATTTACGAGTAGTTAACTTAGTTCTCTTTTATATAATGCGTAACGGCAGTATCGTCCTCGGAGAAAGTACGTTAAACCACGTCTTACTTCGCTTAACGAAGGAAAATCCTTTATTATTATAATTTTTTTTCTTTTTTGGTTATATCTTACAGCCGTCGTCGCGCAAAAGCTGATATACCTTTAATGTACATTTTGGAAAAAATTAAACGAAAATCAACGAAGCACACCACGCACACTC